ATCGGTCGTTATCTCTCTGCTGTCGGCGCCGCGTGTACATCGCCCTTGTGCTGACCACCCTCCTGTACGGAGCAGAGACGTGGACGCCGAAGGCACCGGACCTGCGCTCTCTCAACACCTTTCACCACTAGTGTGTTCGCATCATCGTTGGCGTATCCAGGCGGGACCAGTGGGACAACCGCGTCACCTCCGTTATCATGGCCCGAACCCTCGGCATTGACTGTGACGTCGCGGACATCATCCGGGAATATCGACTGCGTTGGCTTGGCCATGTTGGCCGGATGAACGACGATCGTATGCCGAAACGAGTTTTGTTTGGGGAGCTCCCTGCAACACGCCCTCGCCATGGTCCACGCAAGCAGTGGCGTGATGTCATCGTGGATGATCTCCGCTCCATCTGCCACCCCCCCCCCCCCCCCCCTGTGCCTTCTGACTGCTGGTTTGATGCTGCCCAGGATCGCTCTGCCTGGAGGCAGATTGCTCATCGTCGTCCTCCCGCCCGTGCTCCTCCTGATCCTGACTCTGGCTTCCGCTGCGCATGCGGAAAGGTCTGCCGTCATCCCGGAGATCTCAAGCGCCACGCTCCGTACTACAAAGCTAGCAGATAGTCCCTTCGCTATCATTGCCATCGGCAATGGGCACGTTCAAGGTTCAAGGTTCAAGGTGTGTGTCTGTATGTGTGTGTGCGTGTGTGTGTGTGTGTGTGTGTGTGTGTGTGTGTGTGTGTGTGTGTGTGTGTGTCCCACATGGTGCAGTGGTATGTGCAGCGACTTCCAATCGAGAGGTTGTGGGTTCGATTCCCGTCGATTACGGTCACATGCGTCTTTCTTCTACCAACAGCCAGTGCATGCTGGAGTATGTGGTGTGATGTGTGTGCGGGACAAAATGAAAAGACCAAAAAGTAGGGATTCCCTGTAGACCAGGCAGGCTGGTCAATTCTTCAGCCTTGCAAGCTGTTCAACGGAATGGTGCAATCCCAGCACAAGTTGCTATGTCTTCTGCTGTAGCGTCGCTATCATCACCTCCGGCGATGGGCGTCAAATGGTCAATGGTGTGTACATGGTGTATTATTATTATTATTATTATTATTATTGTGGAAGAGAAAAGGACATATGGATACGAGTTAAGAGTAACTCTCCATCACTGTAACATGATACTATATACAGTCAGAAAGTGCAATAACTAGGCACAAAACTGACAGAGTACTGAAACATTCGACGTCCTGACACCTAGCTTCAACACATCTCCGTAGCGCTAACCGACAGCCTTCCAACTTGGAAGGTTCAAGGTTATGGAACTACCAAAGAGGGGAAGTTGAACCTTCCAAGTTGGAAGGCTGTCGGTTAGCGCTACGGAGATGTGTTGAAGCTAGGTGTCAGGACGTCGAATGTTTCAGTACTCTGTCAGTTTTGTGCCTAGTTATTGCACTTTCTGACTGTATATACAGTCAAATCTGTCGTAAGCGACCGCCCCTTGGTGCAAGAAAAAGCGGTCGCTAACGGCAGATGGTCTCCTACGGCAGATGTATGGTAAATCCGGCATACCAGGTATATGCTTCCATGTACTCAAATCGACGAGAATAATGTGATTTTTAATCATTTAATCAACGACGACCATACCCATAGTACGCGTATGCGACACGGCAGTAGATCGACACTGCCTGGACTTGAGAGCTACAGGCTACAGCACAGCCCCAGTACAGGCCAGGCGCCAGTCGATCGCACTTGCAAGACAGCGCATTTTCACACTTTGCAGGTGACAGCGCCCTGGCAAGTACATGACATTGTACAGTTTCGCACCTGACTGAACCTGGGTCGCGGTCGCTTACAGCAGATTTGAATGCAGCCACCGTGCATGAAATCGCGGTCGCTGGTCGCGCACAGCAGATGGTCGCTCTGGACAGATCAGTTTGTATGTGAAACCGTCGGTGCACGGAAAATCGGTCGCTAACGGTAGATGGTCGCCTACAGCAGAGGTCGCTAACGGCAGATTTGACTGTAGTATCATGTTACAGTGATGGAGAGTTACTCTTAACTCGTATCCATATGTCCTTTTCTCTTCTACATTTATTTATGGCTCAACATCCGAGTTTCAAATTATTATTATTATTAACTTTTATTTTACAGGGTGTTTCCCACAGACCTATGGTCTTCTTACGGGAGCCCCTATATAGGAAGGTTATGCATGAGCGAATAAATGAGCGGTAATCCGTACAAGTACGAACAGTGGAAGGCAGCATATTCCACCGGTCAGCAGCGACATAGCCAATCCGAGAAAAGCCAGCCGTACTCTGTTTCTGGGGGTAATGCCAAAGAAAAAGACACCTGGGATCTCGTAGTGGCAGTGGTGTGAGAGCTACAGCAGCGGCTGGTAAAGATTTCATGAAGCAAAGAGCTGCACGTTCCGCTGAGGGATCTATTGAACAAACGGACATACTTATCATAGTTCGTAGAACTAAGGGAATGGATATAAGCGCTGCTCGCATTCTCCAAGGTTGACTGAATGACACTTAAATAGAAGGTACGCCGAGCATGGTATGGCAGAAGATGGCGGGATAAGCGGTATGCACCAAGCTTCCTGTTGACAGAGCCTACAAGGTTGTCTATTTGTGGGCCAAAAGTCAAGTTTTCGTCAAGTACAATACCCAAGTAGCGAGCAGACTGCGTGCGGGGAACATGGACACCATCAATGATGACATAGGCAGACATCCGGACATCGGTGGTCTTGCGGTGGAGCAGTATGAACTTCGTTTTAGCAGGATTTAATTTCATTCGCTTTCCTTTCAGATAATCCGATAACTTCATAAGATCGTCGTTCAATTTGTCCACAACTTCTTCAGTAGTGTCACCAGCTGCATACATGTTAACGTCGTCAGCGAACTGAAGTACAGATGAGGCACTCACACATCCAGGAAGGCCTCTTACGTAAATGCTGAATAGCACTGGGCCCAACACAGACCCCTGTGGCACTCCTTGGCTGCACGACGCACGAGGCAGATTGTCCGGCGCTGTGAGCTGCTGTGTCCTGTCACTCAGGTAATCTTTGAACCATGCCAAAGCCGCATCACCAACTCCACAATTAAAAAGTTCGTTCAGTAGCAGCTGATGGTTGACGCTGTCGAACGCCTTCCTCACATCTGCGAGAACGACGCCAACGACCTTCTTCGAATCGAGATCCCTTTGCCAGCTGTCGATTGCAACAGCCAGAGCCTCTTCACATGAGTGATGCCGTCTGTACGCAAATTGTTGTGGCGGAATGATGTTGGGGTTCTCCAGTAGGAGGTGAGTAAGCTGGTGATATACATGCTTCTCGAGGACCTTACTAGCAATGGGCAAGAGAGAGACGGGTCGGAAGTTTCGCGGCTCTGAGCGGTCTCCGCCTTTAAAAAGGGCTCTGACGGATGCGTGTTTGAACAAAGCTGGAAACTTGCTCTCCTCTATGGATGCCTTGAATATTGCACACAGTGAGCCTGCTAGAACTTCATGGCAATTCTTAAACAGGATCGAGGGTATTCTGTCCGGCCCCGGAGCCTTGTGCACGTTCAGAGTGCGAAGAATCTTCAAGATGTTGGTGACTGTAGGCTGCGGTATGGATAACATTGACGGCTGGCGATGTGGACCGAATGGACAGAGAAGTGGCGACCTGTCAGGATCAGTGACAATTTGTTGGAAAACCTGAGAGACTCCTTTGTGGTCGATTCCTTCGCCACTGTCTTTAGTCTTTCTGCGGAGCAATGCATTCATCAGGACCCATTGGTTCCGGGGCTGTTTCTTCACCGACATAAATTCATTCTGGTAATACCTGGAGCGGAGACGTCTGTTCGATAGCGTTCCTTCCCGCCGCACCCAACGGTATTCTTCTAAAAGGGCAGGATATGTGGGTGAGGTGTGTGTGGGTGTTGTGTGTATGTACAAGTATACTTGTCTGTCCCCACAGGATACCGCGATTTCGCGGACGCGCAATTTTCCGCGTTATTGGCTGTCATCCGCGTTTTCAAGAGATTTCGCATAATTATTATTATTATTGTAGAAAGGAAAAGGACATATGGAAACGAGTTTAAAAAAGTAACTCTCCACCACTGTAACTAGATACTACTATACAGTCAGAAAGTGCAACAACTAGGCACCAAACTGACAGAGTACTGAGACATTCAACGTCCTGACACCTAGCTTCAACACATCTCCGTAGCGCTAACCGACAGCCTTCCAACTTGGAAGGTTCAAGGTTATGGAAAGACCAAAGAGGGGAAGGCAAGCGCAACGAAAACGAGCACAAGCTACAGTCCCAACGGAACAAAGAATGTCGATTGTTACTGGACGATGACGAAACCAGTTGGCGATTTGACAAAGCGGTCTAAGTACAATTCGAAGCAGCAAAGCAGCACACCACCCAACTTGGGTGGGTCATAAATATCAAAGATAAGTAAAGAAGGGGGAAGCGTTGCGAAAACGAATTGTACAAGCCGAAAGCCAAACTCCTACAGTGCTCCTCATGCATGACATTGTGATGGACTAGTTGACTACAAAACAAGTTGTTTCACACGACGTACGTTTCGCCGTATGGTTCGTGACGGCTCATCAGGTGTGCAATTTGGAACTCGGGTATTGAGCCAATAATAAAAGTAGAAAGGAAAAGGACATATGGAAACGAGTTTAAAAGAGTAACTCTCCACCACTGTAACTGGATACTATTATACAGTCAGAAAGTGCAACAACTAGGCATAAAACTGACAGCATAATCCCGCATATTTGCCACATAATTTTAGGATTTCGTCCGCATTATTCTGTGGGGACAGAGGTGTGTGGTGGCCTTCATGAGAGAATGTCCGCAGCTATGCGAGTGCCTGGAACATGTACATGTACATTTTCACCATCCTACAAGGCTACATCCTGTGGCAACAACCTGATACAATAAAATTGAAAGATTTGCACCTGTACCATGTACCAGGGTACCCAGTACCGCTTCAACCCCACCGACACTTATGAACATGCACAGCAAAAATGTACTTCATATTTCGAATTTCATTCAAATGATGATAAAATGAGGAAATATAAAGGAGTCAGAGTTAGAGCTACATAATATGTTATCATACTAGTATACTACGTGTTACTTGCGTCTCTTCCCCGCAGAGGCAGGATGAAAAAAAGGAAATAGATTGAATTTCTAAATTGTGCACTACAATATCAGTCAGTTTGGAAGGGTAAAAACGAAATGGTGCGAACGGCACAGCCTAAATCGGGCAAATCTCAGCAATGCTCATTAACACGCACGGGACTACGAATCCGGAATAGACAGGGACTCCAAAGCAAGGGAAGTGAAGTGCGAAAACCGGTATCTATTATTACGAAGAGAAAAAATGCCATAGGAGTGAAAATCGACTATAAAAGGGCAGATAGTTGTGAAAGAGAAAAAATATATTAGGTTGATTTCCAGAAGAACTGGCTAAAATATCACGGGCAATTTTGGAATTTGAACAAATGCTATCAATCTAACTGGATGGGAAAACTTAGTATTCTTCGCGCCCTGGTGCCCGAAGGGTGCAACATCTAAGCAATGGGTACAAGTGTTGATCCCAGCAATCACAGTGTTGATCCCAGCAATCACAGTGTTGATCCCAGCAATCACAGTGTTGATCCCAGCAATCACAGTGGTGGCACGTGCAGAGGCAGTGGTGGTTGACGCATTGCAGCTCGGAGGAACGGTTGCACAGTTGCACAACCAGGAAGCGATGATGTGGAGCATGCATATGCAGAGAACGCATGCGTAGCACGTGCCTGTGCAAGTACGGAGAGTGATCTCTACATCGGCCACTGTCCGAACTTGATGATCCAAGAATTGATTGCTGATGTTTGCAGCATGGGGTAGTCCTCTTGCATCGAAGATGTCTTGAAGGTGACACGATTCACCAAAAAAGTGGAGCAGTTGTTTGCAGAAGAGCTTCACAAGGGGTTTGTAGTGTGCAGTTCATGTACACTTGCAGACAGCAGCATAGAGGCATTGCAGACACTGGACATCGTGTTCAACGGCCTAAGCTGAGCCACAGAAACACATCTGATGAGATGCAGACGTCAGCCAGCCAGCTTGCTTAGAACCGACTTTACGCGAACGGCCATTCGTGGCTGGCTCGTTCCAGTGCGCTTTGTTTGATCGAGGTTGTTGCGCTTGCGCTCAAGAGAGCGAGTGCGCTGAGCGGTGTTCAAAGATTCGTCTGACGGATGTCTTGCTACATGCGTTGTGCCAAATGATTGACTGCGATCTTTGGTCAGCAGGGAACTGCCCACTGCTGGCCTGCAAGAATCAGGAACACAGACACAGACACAGACACACACACACACACACACACACACACACGTTGGAGCACAGACAGTATATGGTCGGTCATTCAGCACTGGCACCAACTCCTCTTCGGTCAACTTGATCAATCTCTCACATTGAGATACTTCTTTAAAGTACTGCACTCGAGGCACAGGTGCTGTAAGTTGCTGCCTGGGTGTAGTCTTAGGTCCAAGGTGGTATTTTCTAGAAACTCGTAACTCACAAATTTTTTAGAGCTGTTTCTGACTAAGTTGTGGCTGCTGAAGACGATAAAAGTATCGGCAAGTCTGTACAGTTGTCAGTTTCTTAGATATGGCGATCTTCCGCTCCATAGGGAAATTGTACATGTACTCGAACCCAGTCATTCTAGAGTACAGTGGCTGCATGCGTTCGACTATGCACTTGAATCGATTCATGAATCCATTTGCATGCATTCTCACAATTTTTTTAGAGCTGTTTCTGACTAAGTTGTGGCTGCTGAAGACGATAAAAGTATCGGCAAGTCTGTACAGTTGTCCGTTTGTTAGATATAGCGATCTTCCGCTGCATACGGAAATTGTACATGTGCTCGAACCCAGTCATTCTAGAGTATAGTGGGTTTCTGCATACAGAGTCCGTTTTAGACTCCAGTTGGTGGCAGTCAGGGAGGGTACGACTCCCTGGTGGCAATAAAACATCATTCAGCTGAATACATTGAAAAAAGGAAAATGTAAAATTTAGGTGGACTTGCAAGGTCAGTGCGAGAAACTGTACAAATACAATCAAATTGATTTTCATGCGAGTCTGTGGCATGGCTGTCAAAAACTTCGAGTTGTGCAATGTGGCGCTCAGTCCCTGATACAAATTTCGTGTTGGTGCTACAAAAAATGAAAAGTACATTGGCTGTGTCATGTACTCAAGCGCAGCAGAAATTAGAGTACAGTAGCAATGACTCTGAGCCGACATAGTTAAATACAAGTGAAAAGACAACCAAACTATTTACATGTCTGTCTCAAGCGGCTGATGGAACTGCAACCGGTCGCCGAAGTGTTCCATGAGGCGTTGCTTCACCGCGAAGGACCTCTGAACATGACCAATCAATCCTAGTTCGTCCAGGAATCGACTGTAACGTTTACGTACTTCAGTCATATCTGTTGCGGAGTTACTCTGAGTGAGGACACAAATTTCAATCCACTCACACAATTTCATGAATGCCTGCGCCTCCACATCGCCATTCTGGGCCAGATCAGAATCTACTGCATCATTAGCAAGATGTTTCAGAGACTTCTTGTTTACGTACAGTGAAAAACAGCTACGGTGATACGTGATCTCATTCGCTATACCATCCTCATTTTCAAGTTTGTTCAATATTCTAGCGTGGCTGTGTGTACGAGCAGCATCGAGCAGACTAAACTCTGTCTCGTATGTGGCGCACTGAGTAAATTTCTCTGCCAAGCGCCTGTCCTGCGCGTCAGGTGTATAATCCTGGCACACCATACACTTGCTCAGATCGTGCCTGTTCCGCTTCGGGTCTGCCCGCCCGATTCGGCTCCAAAACACTCTAGAGCAAGCTTTTCTTCAAACGTCACAATGCTTCTTGACGGACTCTGTATGCAGAAACCCACTATACCCTAGAATGACTGGGTTCGAGTACATGTACAATTTCCGTATGCAGCGGAAGATCGCCATATCTAACAAACGGACAACTGTACAGACTTGCCGATACTTTTATCGTCTTCAGCAGGCACAACTTAGTCAGAAACAGCTCTAAAAAATTTGTGAGCTCCTACTTACCACGAAACTTCTAAAATACGACTCTTTTTCGAAATGTAACCCCGCACTAGTGGTATGGCGACCAGGAGACTGGTGTATGCGTCGGTACCGGGTGGTGTACAGGGCCACGTTCGATTCTGGGGTATAAGGGCTGAATGCTGTACCGCAGCCTAAAACTCCCACCGAAGGTGTTCGTTCACCGTCTTGATCAGCAACCTCAAAACTACAAACTAAGGCAACAATTTGCTTGGTAACAGCACCCCCATTTTTTTTCTCCTGTCTAACAGGTTCAGGAAATATGCGAGCTGTGTGTATTATTTTATTATTATTATTAGGCATGCCAAGAATAATACAAACTACACCAACCTTCTTCTACTAGTATTGAGAAGCTGAATGGGAACTTACCCTTTTCGGAGGACACTTGCAGGCTCAGCCGCTGTGTCAGATTCGGGATCATACGACGAATCGGCCATACAAAAGTCCGGCTCGATGGTGCCTTTCCAACCCTGATCTACCGAGGATGCCGAGTGAAATTTTGCTTTGCGACGCGATCCAAAGTGACTTTTAATAGCTGGTTCCGTCTCTGCGGGAACATCGAAGTGCTGCATGGTTACAGAGCGCTGCTTTGCCCACAGTGCTCGTTGGGAGGGGACAGGTGATGAAGCAGCTGACCTGTGCTGGCTTTGATCACTGCTGTCAGGAATCGAAGAGAAAAACGCACTGTCTGAAGCACTGGAGCATGCCTGGGGAGCAATTGCAGACGTACGTGCATGCATTGGTGCACGCACAAACACACACATGCACAAACACACACACACACACACACACACACACACGAACACACACACACACACACACGCACGCACACACACACACAAGCACAGTCGTACTTGTACTTGCACTGCCAGAAGCTGATCATGTGGGTCTCCCCGAGAGAGGGCAGGGAGATTCAAAAGAAATTTAGTAAACAATTTAATATCGCAACCAAGAGGACAAATTATGCGGTAACCATTACATTGCTATGTACGTTCACTGATGATCGTGACGAGAAAACTGTTTTGAACGTTTTTTTCCTTTTACTTGTACATTTCATTATCTCTCTCACATTTTCGTCGTTGTACAAGTAGTCATAATATTGGTTACCGTACAGTTTGTCCTCTTGGTTGCGATGTTAACCTTTCTCCCACCAGTATTCCCGTGCGGGAAAATGCTATTCAACACCCTCTACTGTAAAGCGATAAACTTTCGCAACGCGCAAATTTAGCGTTTTCATAAATTGGGCTGGTTCACGAGGAGAAACTTTTGCGATTCTATCTCTTCAGTCGGATCTTGTACTGTCTACAATCAATGTACGGAGAGGTTGGCGGCGATTTATATTCGCAAATGTGTGATGGTCGCGAAAATAGCGAAATTTAATCTCTAGCAAAAGTTTCTCACTTTGCAGTATTTCACTATCTATCATCGCGGTTTTCAAGTGATTGTGCAGGCCAAGTACAGTACGCAGTGGGGTACAAGGAGCACATCAAAACTACTCGTACGTGTGAACCTGTGGCCGTAGGTCATGCAGACATCATCAGCATGCGTGTATTTCAGCTATAGAGGATATTATTATTATTATTATTATACGCATTCCCGCGTTGAAGTGTAGCAGCAGTATGCTGCGTCCACAGCTTCGCTTATGCAGAATGGCTTGGGTGAGAGGAGAGGGGAGAGAAAGCAACAAGGCAACCAACATCTATGAAATTGGTCACAATAACATGAAGAGAACCAACCTACATATGCATGATTGCACAAGAATGGAGACGACCAAATATAATGGCTATAATCATTGTGCCACAAAACCGGTACACAGGAGATCTGACGACAATGTAACGAAACATAAAACTCAGTTACTCAATACAGGTTCCACTAAATTACGAGAGAACAATGCTACAACGTTAGAATTGCCGCTAAATTATCGCAAGTGTAGAGAACGAGTCCAATACGAATGAAAACCATGAACAGACTGTCCCGAAGTTATTTAGGGAACAAATTGTACTACATGACTGTACTTGCTGATACTGACGCTGACGGAACACGAATTTGAGTTGAATACTCACGAAGTCTTGTACATGCACATCATTATGCGCCGGTGTTGTGGAGTAAGCAGGTACGTCAGTCACCAATCCAGCTTCAGCTCCACGCTCGCTTCAGCAGAATGTTGCCCGCGTTTGCTTTGCCTCCAAACGGATAGACGACCAGCGCAGAGTCCCGCAGCTCCGTGGCCGTAAGGTCTTGATATTCGCCGTTAGCGCCGTCAAGTCTCAGTCCACCTCTCACACCAAGCCGCCCTATAAAAATCTTTCTCTCTCCTTTGGAGTGCTCCCCAGTTGCGCGAGGAGACTAGAGAAATTCCTTCGGTGAGCGAGGAAGAAGAGCGGAGTTACCCAACTCAACCTAAGAGGATATGCAATGTCAAATCTGCCTTACATGGGAACTAGCTAAGTGGCAAAATGCCCATTTACAGGATACTAGCAAGAGTACATAACCCCCCCCCCCCCCCCCCCCAGAGTGTGCAACGCCTGATCCATCTCTGCATAGGGTCTTGGTCGAGCGTAATCGGATCTTCTGATGTCATGCGTACACTCCACACCAGCGCAAGGCCGGTCTCGAGGCAGGGCACCGTTGTTTTTGATCCGAGAGTACCCACGACTCCCCGGGCTCCCCTCAGATACGTACGGTATTACGACGCAAAGATCCGATTACGCTCGACCAAGACCCTATGCAGAGCTGGATCAGGCGTTGCACACTCTGGGGGGTTATGTACTCTTGATGTTAGTGGGCACAGAGAACCCACAGGTAGAAGAACTTTGACGGTGGCAAATGTACTACATGACGTGCATTGCATATCCTCTATACAATATATTGGCGACACTTGCAATGTACAGGGCCGGCAGTGGACGTGTTGAGCAAACAAAGTTCTGCCTGTGCGGTATCTAGTATGTAAGGATGGAGGTCCTGGAACAGAAATATTCAGTTGTATATTGATGATAGAGTCACTGCAGCCTTATTCGACTTCATGTTCCCATACGGGAACATTGGTCAGAAATGACTATCCAAGGAATTGGTAAGAAATGACTATCCAAGGAGCTTGCTTTAGGGTATGATGCTATTCTTCATCACATTGCCATGTTTGGCACTGAATTGCATCTGCAACATGACTGTGTGACCTGATATAGGTTAGAGGATCTATATTTAGAGAGAGAGAGGGGGGGGGGGGGGGAAGAGAGAACCCTCCCCGCACAAGAGTCTGCAGGCCTGCATTAGGGTCTTGAAGACAGGGCAATCTGTATCTGCTAGAGATTATGTCTGCGAGTTGAAAGCATCCTAGGTATGTACAGCGAGAATATCGCACAGCATAATGTGGGTTTTCAGTACTGCTAAGCCCTAAAGTAGGGGTGAAACGAGTTTCAAAATCGAGGACTCCAGTACCCTTTGAAAAAACGAGCAAGTATTCGAGCGAGTACGAGTATTTTACTGACAATATAAACAATGCTCTGCACACATTCTTGCAACGCCGAACGTACTACACCCGATACATAAAATCTTGTCTGCAGCCTAGTGCAAGATATAGTCCGACATTATCTGTTGCTGGTAAGTAGGGACAAGCCACGATACTAACGTGAATTATATCGCCAGTCTGCATCTGTTCGACGACAAATTTTGCCGGTGGAATGTATGAAGGCTACCGGAGAGAACGCATTCTTCAACGACAACACTAACTCGTGGAAGCACTTCTAACAACAACCAAAAATCACTGAACTTTCACAAGATTCAGATCCGGAGGTGCTAGGCCGCGGCCGCAGTAGGCGCACTTGCCTGGGCTGTAAGTACTGGTCAGGGTAACAGAAGCACTTGATGTACATGCGTACAGATGTGCATAGTAAGATGGAGCTGCAGACGGAGAAGGCTAAGATGGAGCAGCGGATTGTGGAGCTGAGGATGGAGCACCAGGTGGAGAAGGTGAATCTCAATCCGGACCTTGCAGCAGCGCGGTATGATTCGTGCGCCGACACGCAAAGAGGAAAGTGCCAATTTGTCTTCGAAAGAGCTAAAGATATCCTCCTCAACGCAGAGTATGTTACTACTAAGGATAAAGAAACACTTGCCTCCCAACGTATCACAATGACAACAATGAACACATTCGTCTCGAAGTACTGGAATCAGGGACTGGCTGCCAGTCTATTTCCTTCTTGCAGCTGCCAGCCGAAGTTTCCAGTTATTGACACCCAAAATTTGTACGGCCACCTATCAGATCGGATACACTGCAAGCGGGAACGAATCATAGACGTATCATCAGAAGACGCAGAAGAAGTTCTTTCGTTTTGGGGATACGTAGCAGGCTTACACCAGCCGCCCATGCCAGTCAAGGTAATACATGCGACGGAGGCCAAGGCTGGCCTAGCTAAGCAGTACAAGTTGGTGGCCTTTTGAAGTAGTTTACAGTTTTTAGTTAGTTTTAGCTCTCTCTCTCTCTCTCCCTCCCTCCCTCCCTCCCTACTCCCCCCTCTCTCTCTCTCTCTCTCTCTCTCTCTCTCTCTCTCTCTCTCTCTCTCTCTCTCTCTCTCTCTCCGCCCCGGCTTGATTACTGGCTGCGGGGTAATTATCTTGACAATAACCATGCACGAAACTTGAGGTAGCGCAAAGTAGACCCGATCCTTCCCACCATCACTTCAGCCAATGTGTTATGCGTACGTACACAAATGAAAATATTGCACTCTGTTGCAGGTGCGCAGCCACTTTTCGGTCAACTGAACATGTTATGCGTGGGCGTCGGAAGCCATTTTTGATTCGTCCAGCTTTGCCCAAGGGGTGTAGTAGAGGAGTCCGGGATCTACCTCGTTGAATATTTGAAAAAAATCAAGCCAAATCTTTCCATTCGAGGGCATTTTTCCACCCTTGCATGACAAGATATGTTTAAAGAACCCCAGTAAATTTCACTATGTGCGCGACCGAGCAGGAAAAATATTACCCAGAATATTGGTTCGTCTCAAGCCAAGCCAGCTCGGCCGACTCCAACCACCCATGTTATGGCAGCGAAGCATTCGCAAAAAAAGAGTGAATAGTTGCCCATGTGCTGTGCTGAAGATCTCATCTTCAATTTCAGTTGATCAGCATTGTGCTGTCAGTGGACTTCACTTGCATGCACAAGTCAGTAGAGAGGTTAAGCTGAACCTCATTTTTGACGCGACGTGAAAACTCATCTCGCGTTATTTGGCTCGCGCGTTGGAAAACAACGCGAGTGACCTGCAGCTCACGTCGAAATTTGGAGTTTTACGCTAAATTTGACGTAAAATTGCGCGTCACGTCAAAAATAACATGCAACTGAACTCTCTATTGACTAACCTTCACCCCAGCCGCCTTCTCTTTTTGTCTCATCATCTTGTGGTAATTACGCACCGCCTGTGCTTTGCGAGCGTCTGCAAATGATCGCCCTGCCACATGTGGGAGAAGATACGCCAGAGTGCACGCGAGAACAACACGCACATGCACACACACGTGCACACACATATGCACGCACACACAAAAACACACGCACAGACGTGCACAGACACACAGATGCACACACAGACACATATTAGACTGAAACAGTAGGGCATAATGCCATATAGCACGAACACACTCCAGGCTGGCCACAGCAGTGCAAGCACCATTCATGAGCGAAGATCACCAAACCGGCAACCAGCATGTGCCCAGTCACTTGGACAGGGTATGGAGGACTTGCAGGATCGACTAGTTTGCCCCTGGGAACTATGGTAGTAGTGCCTCGTGTCGTCTGCCTAGATCATGCGGCTATGACTCCCTGCTTTCCAGTAACACAGTGCACCCCCTCCGTCCCTCGGACCGGTCTGGTCCCCCTAGAGCCCAGTCCAGCCACTAATCACTCTATCGTGTGCAGGCCGCTTCAAGCATGCACAGACCAATGCAAATGCACGCATCTATAGACTGGCATCAAGAGTAGATAAACAAAGAGTGTGCAACTCCGGATCTCTCCTGCACAATCTCCAGATACCCCGCCCACGGCGGAATTTTTTGTTGACGTCACCTTTTTTCAGAAAAAAATGCGCTTCTTGCCGCAGAGCAGTGTGAGAGCACGTGCTGGGCACCGACATTGTAATGTAAGCCCGGCCAAGTGCACAAGGCAAAACTTTCCAAAAGACTAGCAGCGCGTGGGTGGTCGAAAAGATTATGTCAACAAAAAATTCCGCCGTGGGCCAACCCATCCGCGCGGATCCGGGAGTTGCACACTCTTGTTTATCCACTCTTGCTGGCACGTGTAGCACTATCACTGCATGAACAGTTTCACAACTACAGTCGACTCCACTTATAACGAACTCGCATATAGCGAAGTTCGTGATAATATAGCGATTCGTGAACCATTGTTCATGTCCCTGTTTGAACCCATACAAAATTGACCCTTTATAGCGAACAGGCTTCGTTTACAATGAACCAAATCTTGTAGGGCTGCATGTAAACCAAGTGCACTCATACTGTCATGGGCCACTTGCCAGTTATGACTTGCTGCTTGTATAGTGTAAGTGCATTTCTGTTATAACAAACTTCGGCTATAAAGAACTAATTCTCCTGCACAATGGTGTTCGTTATAATTATCAGGAGTCGACTGTATGGTTTAGGGGAATGGGTCACCCGGTGTTGGCCGACAGCACCCTGCTTCATTGGCCACTGCCCTCTCTTTCTGTTCACTTCGAAACAACACAGCGGAAATGGGGGATTATGGTGCCGTTTCTGCTGTATAAAAGATCATTCCTTTACACTCCATTATCATTCGAAGTCCTCTACTGATGAGCTCAAAGGAGCGAAACAGCTGTCTACAGGCGTAAACGAATTATCTGTCAACGGAAGCGTCCTTGCTGTGCTGGTGTGCGCATGCTTCGTGCATTGGTTCGGCTAAGAGCGCCTAGTGGTGACGGCCCCGTGGGGGGATATAATACTATGCAGTACAGTACTGTCGGTCGCCGAAGAACTGGGGGGGGGGGGGGGGTCAGCCTCCTAGCCTAGACCGTTCCTATTTTCATGTATTACAGTCTATGCGCAGTTGAGTCACCGTGTATACATTGGTATGCTGTGCTTGGTGAAATTCTAGCTAGGTCGTTCTTCGGCGTTCCGTTCTTCGGCGCCCGACAGTACTGTATTTTATTATGGTATACGTCATAAAAATATTATTTCGACTGTATCATTCTGTAACTGTATAAACGACAAACTGCTGAGAGTGAAGTGAACGATACTTCAGTACTATTCTAAATGGCACATTTATATGCGTTTCCTACTTGGGACATTCAGCGATTGGCCCCTGAAAACCCATAACCACACGGAGCTCATACGCGAGGTCACGAGCCGCGATGATTAGGACTTTTATCAACGAGAGAAGAGGTCATGAAAAATCCCAACTCACTTTGACTGACAAACTTCTTCGCGGATGACACGGACGGTGATTTCCGTGGTCGGCCTTGTATACTCCTGATTGATGGCGAGCGAGGTTGACTATTCGCCGGTGTAGCCGGATTTTCGCTTTTCATAAGCCGCTTTCCCATCCTCAGAATGCCACGAGAAATGTTGAAAACGACATTGTGTCACCTGTCCTGGTAAACTTGTCCAATGTGATTGTCTCCTTTTCCTCTAGTCAGCGTAACTCACAGTATCTACCCTGCGACACTATTACTTAGAAGCTAGGTACTGCTGAAGCTTGGCACTCGGTGCATATCTACAGCTCAAAACTCGCCGCAGCCAGGTTCCCCATGAGAAGAAAGCCGTCGTCGACAACATGCAAGCCAAGGGGCGAGGGGAGCAACCAACCACACTGCATTCATTCTCGATCTCAACTGGACTGTAGATCAACAATGATGCAAGCATGACCTTATAATGACGTACATCATGACGGTATGGGCCTATATTTGTTGCGGGGAGTATTTTTACGAATCCCTACGCCGATCTACTGGCACAAAAAAACGTGCCGGTACACATGGTAGAGTCTACATGGGTACACATTTTTCATCTCCAGAACAGATCTGGACTCACGCATGTACGGAGATGAAGCCACATTTGGAAGTCGACATGGCCTATGTCACATGTATGTGGTAGGCAGGGCTACAAATACTTTTTGACGACTCCCTAGCATGCAGTCCGTGCGCCAGTTCAGAAAAAGTCGTCTAAAAGTTGCACTTTTATTTTCCAGATTTGCCAGATTTCGCAGTTTTCTCAAGATATCGCGAGACGAATACTCAATGGTGTCACCTTCGTCGTCCTTTGGTTTACGGCTCCCGTGAGTTCTTCGTCTCAGATCGTTGTCGAAATCCAACCTAATAGTTGTTCTCTGCCCTAAGTTTTGTCCGTGACGAAAACAAATAACGAGAAATTGAGTTGTCGCTCGTCGCTTGCGTTTTCGTTATGTCGCTGATATTTTGGTTGAACATGCTATAATTTCGTGCCGTTGGTTTGTACAAGGGTTTCGCTATTTCCTGCTTATTTAATTAGAAAGAGGTATTAGCCAACAGTGTATCCTCCAATTTTGGCTTGTGCAAAAAATCCGACAGCGGTGATACCAACCGTTTCGTCAACACTGTATTTTTGACACATTTTGACACACACATGTCTTCAATTGGTGGACTTATGAACGACCGACAGAATCGTTCAAGGGGTCCTAGTATTCTGCGATGTTCCAGCCAGACCATTGTATCCGTAGACCACGAACAACACGAACCCCCACAGGTTGCTGGAGCTCCAAACACAAACCCTCGCAGATCAATGCATGTGCCTATACTTGTATGTACAATACTATCAAGCCAAATACAGTACTGAGGTGGGAAAGAAATATAAATAATTCATGCAGAGAGGATGACACTACAAACACAGCACCTGAGCCAATGCAGAATTGAAGTGAAAAAATGGCATCTGCGGATGGCCAGGATACGGTGCTACTATTAAATTTTACAGAACAACCGCCACAAGCTATGACACATAACGTCTCTTACCTTCATTCACGGCGGACGCATGGAGCAAAGAATACGTTTACCATACACCCGTACATACATGCACACGTGAATTGACACGTGTTCATGCGCTTTTTTCAACAGACCCACACACGTCTGCATGTACATGTAAACGCACAGACATGTACACGTACGTACGTGTACGAACATACACACCCATAAACATGCACACACACACACACACACGCTAAAGTATGGGAGCATATGTGCACAAAGCATCACGTGATTGCATTCACAAGTTTATACAAGCCAGCCAGGTAATGAATGCATACTTGTAGTTGTGTGGTAGCTGCTACAACAAATGGAGCATTGGCTAAATATTGCAATAAGGAGAGTGTTATGATAGTCATGCAAAGGTTCTGCTGTTATCAACGAAGTGCACGCCTCTCGTGCTAAGTTCAAGATCCATTGTACTCTTCTTTGCAACATACTTCGTGCAGCTTGCATCCAATCGTAGGCATCACGAGTCAAGGCAGCAGCCACATGGACCAGTAAGATTCACTGATATTGAGGATTTGGACCAGGGTGCTGTTCCGATCAAACTTGCAATAACACCTTGTTGAGCTGGGTCTTCCCCACTGGCACAGCCACCTTGTGTGGCCCTACCAGTAGTCTCTGCCCGTTGCCTTCATTTCATTGGTAGGGTTGTGTTTGACGAAAAGCCTACTTGACTGCATTCCAGCATATAGCTTTCAAATGTAAGTGTGATGTATTGATATCACAGACATGCTGACGTTTGGTACATGCCTCAAGGCTAGTCAATAGAATTGATAGTCATACATCACTTCAAGCTAGGACCTCTCCAGTGGGAGAAATGAGGTGATCCACTGTTGTCCGCTGGAAACGTTTGACCCTGTTGATCATGGTGATATCTACATAGGCATCAATACACAGCCGGAAAGTGAAGTGTGCACACACAGATGCACACACACACACACACGCACACAGACACACGCACGCACACACATACCAAGCAGCATAGCACCACAATTTCCACGATGTAAAGCAGCAAGTATCGCCCCCCAAGCATGTGTATGCACAGCGTACATGATTATGCCACAAGGGATTTTTTATATATTTGAATGCAGGTGCACAGACCCTGGGTCATTGGCATTGGTCATGGGTTTCATATTCATGTCCTAACTATAAATTGATAAGTCAATAATAATTTTGCTCTTCTGTTTCATGCATTGTGTGTAAAATACCAATATACAGGCAAATTGTACTAAAGTACCATACAGCTCTGCATCAATTTTGCCAATGCTGTTTATTGTACATTGTTCACAATCGCTGCAATCGCTGCCATTTCTCATAAATAATATTGTCATGCAGTATAGTTACGAAATACACCGCCAGGATGCCACAACACAAAGACGGCTACATTTTTTCAACCAACATGCAATTATTGCGAAAAAATAAATATTTCCATAATTTCGTGCCGTTGGTTTGTACACAATTTCAGGGCTAAAATAACCTTACCCTGTCATGGCGATATCTCTGAGGAGTTGAATTCACCTAGTCTCCCTTGTGCAAAAAATTCCCTCGTGGTGCTGCCAGCTGCAATGTAATGGCAACCCAGAATAGGGTGAAAATCGAAAACGATAAATTCCTCGCCTCCCGTCCATCCAACTGCGCTGGTTGCATCAAGTACGATGTTTAGAAGACGAGTGGCATCCGACTAACGACTGGCAACATATTTCTTGAAGAAGGAAGCCCTCATTTCACCGACTGGCCTCGAGGTAGGCAACAAATCGACCGACAATTTACTGACCGGCGTCGTCATCTTTCCCTGCATAACGTCTGCATGTATGGTTCCCGCGCAGAAAATAAAAATCGGGCCAAAACAGGGTCTGGCGCACGGACTGCTAGTGGTAGGCTAGGCTCCGCGATAGAGAGGGCCCGAAAATGCTTGCGTATATTTTCGCATGTTTTGGTCCTTTTGATCCAAGCTCAAGGTCGCATAAAGTACCAAATCTAGCATATTCACGGCACCAAATCTAGCATATTATTTTGCTACAAGGAGCAAACGCATATCAGTTGCTTTTTATGAGCTGCCATGGTGGTGTTTGTGCATGATCTTTGTAGGTGGCAGTGCTACTACTGTACACGGATCGAAGTGCTGCACATTGCACTGAATATTATTGTGTGACTCATGGTTGTTGATTCTCCCGACTTTATACCTTTCTTTTCTATTAGTCCTTCAGTTATTTTACGTTTGCATTTTGCCTGCTCAGTCTAACATTTTATGCACAAGCCAGACATAGCTGTTCACAGCTCTTTCTGTACACATGTGCCGCCATGCATATTTGGTTCGCAATTCGCATTACTTTCAGTTTCACCCCTTCCTCATTGACATACTCAAAATACCTTTCATAACTCCGTGAATATGTAAAGAGAAAAGGATTTATTAGGCCAAGTAAAAAAAAAAGCTAGATGATCGTCCCCGTCCGCCCCAGTTTTTGTCAGCGCCCCAAGAAATATTTTATTTTTTAAATCGTGAGTTTTTGCCGAAATCGTTGGTTTTTTACCGATCGCGGATGCAGGAAACATGTGCACGCTTTGTTTAATACTTTCTTTACTATATGGACCACATGCACATACTATATACAGAAGCCTTGCTTGGTAGTTAACATGTTTTTCGATTTTGACAGCATGTTACAAGGCGAGGACCATCAACACCCAGACCACAACACCAACGTGCAGACGGGGTGTTCCGACGTGGTGAAGGCCTACCCATGGCCTCGTCGGGACATCACCAACCTCGTCGGCAGCGAGCACCTTCTCACAACAGTCGTCATGGTGATGACTATGACTGTTACAGCTGACGAGCTGAGAGAAGGACGCCATGGGCAGAAGTTGAAAAAAGACAAGAAAAAAGAAAAAGAACAAAAGAACAAAAGAAAAAAGAAATAAATCACAAATAATTTAATTACAGAGGAAGACAAGAAAATAACATCACAAATCCTTCCAGACGTGATCCCTGCAGCGGCAGCAACGTGAACAATACTACGGCGGCAACACGACGACTTCTACAACACAAAAAAACGAAAATTATAAAAATCCTACCAACCCGTAGAGTAACGAGGGTCCGAACCTGGGTTTTCCCAATACGGTTCAAATGGTCGCAAGACCGGGACTCTGCCAACCGGTTTATGGTTGTAGTCAGGAGCACTACGCGTCCTCGCCTTGTAACATGCTGTCAAAATCGAAAAACATGCACATACTACTAGTACATGTATATCACAACGTCAGTATCGATCTGCTGAAGAAAGAAAAAGAAAAAAAGAAAAAAAAAGAAAAAAAGAGAAAAAAAACCTTGATGTTGTTGTGTACACTGTGTGCATGAGAGGGTAAAAAGTAAAAAAATAAAAATAAAATCCTCCCGCCCTCCCCGATTTTTCCAAAAAAAAGGACGATCATCCTAGGGCATGTTCGATTGGTTAGGATCGGGATCGGGATCCAGATCTCAGATCCGTCGGATCCTTCAGAGTCAACTGGACACTTTTTTGAGCCTTGACTGTTGCCATGTGGACGAAGTAATAAAAAATCGTACTCACAGCGCCAGTTGTACAAAAAGTCAGCAAGCTCTATCTCGATCCACGTGTGACTCCGTGACGATGGCATGGCTTCGCTGCAAGCTAAGCTTTGCATTAGTCCGAGCTAGCGTGATGTGCCTTCGTGGGGCAAGATCATCATCCGCACACCGTGTCACCAGGGACCCCGCGTCTGTAGTGGTAGCCGAGGCACGTGTTTCCTTGCAGGACTGTTGAACTAAAGTCATGATTCTTTTCTATTTTTATTCTTTTTACCAGGC